TATAGCCAAATCTAGTCGTTGACGGCCAGATCTAATCTGGCCGTCAAAGGCCAGATCTGTCAAGTTTGGCCATTTCTGGCCAGATCTTTGGCCGGAAATGGCCATATGACGCACGGAGGCCATTTCCTGTCTTCCATGAGCCGTTAGGTTGCCGAATGCCGGGGGCCTGCGATGGTTGCCGGCAGTCGGCAGTGGCTGGGTTGGTGGGGGTGCTCTGTTGATTTTTCAAACTTTTATTATGAGGTCGTTTTTGCTAAGTTTTTAAATGTAGGGGGGTTATATAATCCAAATAATAATCAATATTAGAAAATAATATAATAATAATATTTAATTAGAGGACAATTCAGTAATTTAAATAACATACCCGCCAATTTATTTCTCCCAACCAAACATATTAATATAACATATCCACCAATTAACCAAACACATTTTTCTAAAGATTCCCAGTAATCTTCAAGGTAATCTATCTTTCCAGTAATCCAACATTCCTAGTAATCCAATATTTCTTAAACTAAACGCCCCCTCTAAGTAATGTAAGATAACATTACCTCAATAATCTTATATATCCTCAAACCAAACACACCCAAAGTGATAGATTTACACTTGTCCAATTCAACATTAAGGTATTTTAAGGCTGAAGTCCTTAACCTTAATCTTCTCAACTCTTCATTGGTTCATCCTGGTACTTTGTTGCAACCAAGCCATCTCTGAAAGATCTCCAACTTTTGCCACATTCAATTCACAATCCTCAAAAAGCTTTTTGGCATCAGTTCCAACCACTTTTCCCACAAAAGTAAACTTATTGTTCCCCAGAAAATTTACAAGAGATCGAGGCATCGCATCTCTATGACAGAGCTGAAAGATTAGGCATCTCTGACCTACACAAAGTTGTAGGATTGCCACTTTTTGATGCTTATCAGTCTTGGTGGTTAGACTTAGACACCATTCCGTGTCGAGACCAACCATAAGTTTCTGAAGTTTGAAACGATAAATGCGTATCCAATGATCAACATCTACGGCACTATAAGTTACAATGGTGTGGATGATATGATCATAAAATCTAATCTTCCAAATACGAGGAATTGGACTAAAGTTTTCTAACGACGTAGTGTTTGCCAACAAGAGAAGAAAAGATGATGTGAGAAAATAATCGGCCCCTTCAAATTTTTTATACTATATTTATAAGTGCTTAAAACTATAATTTTTTATTTCCTTTTTAATAAGAAAATCGAGAATTACGCTCCAAGTTAGTTTAGGTTTTATAAATAATGTCACATTTAAAGAGTTTTTTATATAATATTGCTCGCTTTTTGCTTAAGATAAATCATAAAAAAATCGTGGGCTTAACCAATTTATTTCCTTTACAACTAGGCCGAATAAGTCCAACTCATAAGAAGCCATATTTGGTTCGCTCGACCCATGAGTGATATAAAAACAATAGGCCGAGTCCCTTGTACATAAAAATCATCACTTGTTGGACCAGATCAAACTAATGCGAATGTCCAGGCCTGACTGTACATAGTCACCATTGCTATTATTAACATCCAAACTTATAAAACGCGAGAAAAAATAATATTTGCTCTAAGAGGAAACTGTGGTTTGATAATACAAGTTGAAGCATTCAAGGGTATTCGGAGTGTGAACATGCCTCTTTGAATAAGCCAAACCAAAATTGTCAACAAAACTTGTGTCATTCTGATATATGATGTGTTGTAGACTATTTCCTAAATAAAAAAGTTGGCCAATAAGACACAGATCCTCATTTGCAAATACCCAAAAAGTCTCTCCTTATCGAAAACAAGTCCAGATTATAAATTTGAGCTTGTGGGTATTCCATCTTCTCCCTGAAATTATGCCAGGAATTATTCAAAGAAAAGTTACTAACTCTACCTTGTTTGCCCATTCTCAAAACAGATAACGCCTAATGACTTGACCGGACTCGGATATACTTGATTGACTTTAATACATAATTAACTTTGCGTTATTTTCTTGAGTCCTGGACGGCTATTATAAGTACATATATTGGTAGTATACAAATTGAATATAACAATTAAGAGGATGAAAATGAAATGGTGATTGCTTTTGAAATTAAACGAGGATTGGTACATAAAACGCTGACCAAATGTGTATTATCATCTGAGTAATTAGGAATCATTTCATTCAGTTGCTCTCAAGTTAAGTAAAAGAAGAGATGTCGTAGGACCCAATTTTTAACTTTGATTTTGACCTATCGAATTACTATTTTGTGGATTTTAACTATTAAATTCTGAATGAGTTTTCAAAGGTATTGAAATCCTGGTGCCTACTGCCTAGCTTGCTGACCAAGAACCCTAATTGTCTCACGATTGATTTTAGTATTAAATAAACAAAAATAACATCTTTCAATAAACATTTTAATAACTTGAGTTTCATTTAACCTCCATCTTAAAATTTCACCTTTTTTCATATAATACTTTTTAATATCGTAGAATTTTCTCATATAAAACTTTGTCATATAGTTGTCTTTCACATGTCTTTGATAATTAAATTGTAAAGATTTTTGTATTCTTAATTATGAGTAGATTAGAGTATATACTAACACGGTTGAATAATAAACAACCACAAAAAAATTTTAATGATTTAGAAAATTGATTTCCTCTTAAATTGCTTACAATTTTAAGTTAAATCGCGTTATTTCTTAATGTTAAAGTGAAGATAAATCCCTTTGATGTAGTTAGCGGAATATGTTGACTACAAAAGGTGTAGTTGATAAAGCTAAGATTGATTTTTAACCACTCAGCCTTCAAATGTATTTTCACGTTAACCCTTTTTTCAAGCATAATTAAATATTTTATATTATATTAATGAGATAAATTTATTTAGTTAAAACTTGCATAGTAATTGAGGCAACCCTATACTACGAAGTGTAACCATTAAAAATGTTGACTTTGTCATGAAAGTCAACCGTATGGATCACTAATCAATGAGTCCATTGGCATTAGTAAAATAAGAAATTTAGTATACTTAAAAAATGTGTTTGATTAGAGAATGTTGTATTATTGGCAATGTTATATTAATAGAAATATAAATTATTTTGAAGATTACTAGAAATATCTAGGGAAATGTGTTTGGTTGGTTAGAATAAATTGATAAGTATATTATATTAATATGTTTGGTTAAAAGAAATAAATTGGTGAGTATGTTATATAATTTACTAAATTGTTCTCTTTTTTAAATATTAATATAATATTATTTTTATTATTATTTTCTGAATAATTTTTTTTAACCTCCTACATTTCATATTTAATAAAAACATCTTAGCAACAAAAAAGTTTAAAACTTAACAAAAACACTCTCACCCACCCCAAGCCATTACAAATGGTGACGAAGGTGGAGATCTAGCCATGAAACGACGGCTGTTTCACGACCAGATCTATGACCATAGATCAAGCTGTGAAAGGCCAAATCTGGCTGTTTCCGGTCATGGATCATAGATCCATGGCCAGAAATAGTCTTATCGGCGCATGGATAACTAGATATGGCCAATCGTGCGTCATTCCGTTGCCGACAGCGGCCACCGGTGATGGTTTTCAACGACTAGTGGTGGTGGCCAGATCTAGTCACCACCCTTGGGTAATTTTTTTAAATTTCATGGGTATTTATGTCCTAAAAACTTTGTATATAAGGATAAAATAGTTAATTGGTATTTTTGTAAATTGTTTTTAAAACGAGGGCATTATTATCCTAAAATTTTATTAATAAGGGATAAAATTATAACAAAAATAAAGTTACCAAATAATCTTAAAATACTTAATAAAATGGATGTAATCTATATTAACAACAGTAACTATTATTAGTATTGAAAGATTTTCAAAATCTTATATTATTTGACAACCCAACATAGTAATCTGGGGGCATTTGGTTAGAGGGTATCTGACATTAATGGGGGTAAGTGATCTTATATTACTTGATTACTATGTTTGGTTGTCAAGTAATATAAGATACCGGTAATCTTCAAATACCAATAGTGGTTACTATTGGTAATATTGGAGGTAATCTGATTACCTCCATTTTTTTAGGTATTCTAAGATTATTAGGGTTATATTTTTTTGTTACAATTCTGTCCCTTATTAATAAAATTTTAGGACAATAATGCCCTTATTTTTAAATTTATTTACATGAATATGACTTTTACTATTTCACCAAAATTAATTAACTTTTTGGACAAAATTATCTTTGAATTCAAAACAAATTGTAGCCCACCCAAGCCACCACCCCCACCCATTTGCCGTCGCCTGCCACCAACAACCACCACCGCAGTCAGCCGCGGCCGCCGCCAGAATGGCTCACGGAAGGCCGAAAATGGCCGTCGTGCACCAATATAGCCAGATCTAGCCGTTGACGGCCAGATCTGTCAAGTTTGGCCATTTCTGGCCAGATCTTTGGCCGGAAATGGCCATATGACGCACGGAGGCCATTTCCTGCCTTCCATGCGCCGTTAGGTTGCCGAATGCTAGGGGCCTACGATGGTTGCTGGCGGCCGGCAGTGGCTGGGTTGGTGGGGGTGCTTTGTTGATTTTTCAAACTTTTATTATGGGGTTATTTTTGCTAAGTTTTTAAATGTAAGGGGGTTATATAATCTAAATAATAATCAATATTAGAAAATAATATAATAATAATATTTAATTAGAGGACAATTCAGTAATTTAAATAATATACCTGTCAATTTATTTCTCCCAACCAAATATATTAATATAACATACCCACCAATTAACCAAACACATTTTCCTAAAGATTCCCAGTAATCTTCAAGGTAATCTATCTTTCCAGTAATCCAACATTCCTAGTAATCCAATATTTCTTGAACCAAACGCCCCCTCTAAGTAATGTAAGATGACATTACCTCAATAATCTTATATAACCTCAAACCAAACACACCCAAAGTGATAGATTTACACTTGTCCAATTCAACATTAAGGTATTTTAAGGCTGAAGTCCTTAACCTTAATCTTCTCAACTCTTCATTGGTTCATCCTGGTACTTTGTTGCAACCAAGCCATCTCTGAAAGATCTCCAACTTTTGCCACATTCAATTCACAATCCTCAAAAAGCTTTTTGGCATCAGTTCCAACCACTTTTCCCACAGAAGTAAACTTATTGTTCCCCAGAAAATTTACAAGAGATCGAGGCATCGCATCTCTATGACAGAGCTGAAAGATTAGGCATCTCTGACCTACACAAAGTTGTAGGATTGCCACTTTTTGATGCTTATCAGTCTTGGTGGTTAGACTTAGACACCATTCCGTGTCGAGACCAACCATAAGTTTCTGAAGTTTGAAACGATAAATGCGTATCCAATGATCAACATCTACGGCACTATAAGTTACAATGGTGTGGATGATATGATCATAAAATCTAATCTTCCAAATACGAGGAATTGGACTAAAGTTTTCTAACGACGTAGTGTTTGCCAACAAGAGAAGAAAAGATGATGTGAGAAAATAATCGGCCCCTTCAAATTTTTTATACTATATTTATAAGTGCTTAAAACTATAATTTTTTATTTCCTTTTTAATAAGAAAATCGAGAATTACGCTCCAAGTTAGTTTAGGTTTTATAAATAATGTCACATTTAAAGAGTTTTTTATATAATATTGCTCGCTTTTTGCTTAAGATAAATCATAAAAAAATCGTGGGCTTAACCAATTTATTTCCTTTACAACTAGGCCGAATAAGTCCAACTCATAAGAAGCCATATTTGGTTCGCTCGACCCATGAGTGATATAAAAACAATAGGCCGAGTCCCTTGTACATAAAAATCATCACTTGTTGGACCAGATCAAACTAATGCGAATGTCCAGGCCTGACTGTACATAGTCACCATTGCTATTATTAACATCCAAACTTATAAAACGCGAGAAAAAATAATATTTGCTCTAAGAGGAAACTGTGGTTTGATAATACAAGTTGAAGCATTCAAGGGTATTCGGAGTGTGAACATGCCTCTTTGAATAAGCCAAACCAAAATTGTCAACAAAACTTGTGTCATTCTGATATATGATGTGTTGTAGACTATTTCCTAAATAAAAAAGTTGGCCAATAAGACACAGATCCTCATTTGCAAATACCCAAAAAGTCTCTCCTTATCGAAAACAAGTCCAGATTATAAATTTGAGCTTGTGGGTATTCCATCTTCTCCCTGAAATTATGCCAGGAATTATTCAAAGAAAAGTTACTAACTCTACCTTGTTTGCCCATTCTCAAAACAGATAACGCCTAATGACTTGACCGGACTCGGATATACTTGATTGACTTTAATACATAATTAACTTTGCGTTATTTTCTTGAGTCCTGGACGGCTATTATAAGTACATATATTGGTAGTATACAAATTGAATATAACAATTAAGAGGATGAAAATGAAATGGTGATTGCTTTTGAAATTAAACGAGGATTGGTACATAAAACGCTGACCAAATGTGTATTATCATCTGAGTAATTAGGAATCATTTCATTCAGTTGCTCTCAAGTTAAGTAAAAGAAGAGATGTCGTAGGACCCAATTTTTAACTTTGATTTTGACCTATCGAATTACTATTTTGTGGATTTTAACTATTAAATTCTGAATGAGTTTTCAAAGGTATTGAAATCCTGGTGCCTACTGCCTAGCTTGCTGACCAAGAACCCTAATTGTCTCACGATTGATTTTAGTATTAAATAAACAAAAATAACATCTTTCAATAAACATTTTAATAACTTGAGTTTCATTTAACCTCCATCTTAAAATTTCACCTTTTTTCATATAATACTTTTTAATATCGTAGAATTTTCTCATATAAAACTTTGTCATATAGTTGTCTTTCACATGTCTTTGATAATTAAATTGTAAAGATTTTTGTATTCTTAATTATGAGTAGATTAGAGTATATACTAACACGGTTGAATAATAAACAACCACAAAAAAATTTTAATGATTTAGAAAATTGATTTCCTCTTAAATTGCTTACAATTTTAAGTTAAATCGCGTTATTTCTTAATGTTAAAGTGAAGATAAATCCCTTTGATGTAGTTAGCGGAATATGTTGACTACAAAAGGTGTAGTTGATAAAGCTAAGATTGATTTTTAACCACTCAGCCTTCAAATGTATTTTCACGTTAACCCTTTTTTCAAGCATAATTAAATATTTTATATTATATTAATGAGATAAATTTATTTAGTTAAAACTTGCATAGTAATTGAGGCAACCCTATACTACGAAGTGTAACCATTAAAAATGTTGACTTTGTCATGAAAGTCAACCGTATGGATCACTAATCAATGAGTCCATTGGCATTAGTAAAATAAGAAATTTAGTGGAAAAGAAAGAAAATGCAAATTTCAAGTGGAGAGTCTACTAATGCTTTTATCAAGGTTGCTTAGGTAATTAGTAATGATTAGCAATTTAAAGAAACCAATAAATTAATATATTTGTGAGAATGTTCGTATCTAAATCGTGATTGCTGATAAATAATAGATTGTAATAGTAATTTAGATAATCAAATCTAATTAATGTTTCCGTAGTATGTACAAAAATAAAATAAAATTTATACTATGATATAAAAAATTACTACTGAACATAACATTTATGTATTTAGTTGGATTGACGCCTCAAACATGTTTTAACCTTAGATTCCATATTCTTCTAGTATATTTTTTCTAAATTTGAATTTTCACTAATAATTGCCATTAACATTAATTAAATAGTTTTTATGAACCATAAATTAATAAATGTCACCGCCTAATAAATCACTCAAAGTCAATAAGATGAGCGGTGTAAACAAATTATAAGTTCTAGACATTTGATTTGCAATTACCCGTAATGCATGCTACTACTTACTTTCTTTGGAATAAACTGTAATTTCTACTCTATTTTTTTATAGGACTTGCTTGGTGATAAATAAACAAGAGAGAGAGCACCTTTAGAGGGCTTAGCGTTTCAACAGGAACTTGTTAGAGTCATAAAAGTGACTCTATTTTGATGATAAAAAGACCTTATATGCTATTAAAATGAAATCATATTGAGGAAATTAAGAAATTTATGAATTTATTCACGAAAAATTGCATCATAATGTTTTCTTATGAATTTAACATGTTTGGAATGATTTTGGAAATGGTATGAGTTGATATTACATTGTAGTTTATGGAATAGGGGTGATTTTGTCTCATTTATGTTGTTTAAGGGTACACTGTCATATTTTTAGGGGGTTGATTTTGTCACTTTTCAATCGTGTAGGGACCAAATGGAAAATTTTCACATTCTATATAAAAAAGAAGTGAAGTGTTGCATTCCAGCAGCGTCGCTCACCCCAATCTACAGTCCACTGCCGGCAACTCTTCCTTTACCATTTTCGACGACGTTCCAGCTTCCCCTTGCATCGATCATCACCATCTCGCACTCACCGTCGTGATTCACACGTTTGCCGGTGACGTTTCGTCTTCCAGCCGTCGTTGGGCCACTTTTCGACGATCTTCGGTGACTCTTTCACTTCACTGGTGGCTGACCTACCTTCCCCACACTCAGATACATGTTCCCCTAAGCTTCGTCAACGCCAAATTGTTGCCGCCATCGCTGCCGCCACGCCTTTTCAGCTTTCACTCCAGTTTTTGCTCACCTTCCGATGACCTTTTATCTCCCCAGGACCTGATTCGATCTCCCCATCACCCGAGCTTTCCATTGGTAACTTCGGATCCCATTCCGCCACCATTTGCCAGAAGACCCATTGAAAAACTAATGTATTCCGACGAGTTACGACTGTTCGTATTCTGGGCTGTCCGTTGGTCCGCTCCTTCGCATCATCTCGCTGTTGGTTGCTTCCTTTTCGCCATGATCAGCTTCATTTCCACTGCTCCAGCCTCCGTCGACACCACCATAAGCGACTGAGCTCCCGATTGTCTGTTACGGTGTAGGCGAGATCAAGATTGACTCCACTACTCTCCTCATCAGCTCTCGACTAGTTGGATGAGCCTGATTGTAGGACAATTGGTAGTATTGTGTTTCAAACTATGTTTGTTTTTGTTTCATGTTTGATTTCGATACTTTAATGTAGTTTGAGCATAATTTGTGATGAATATAGTTGTCCATTGTTATTAAATGTTTTCATAGAACTTACTGAATGATAGACGTTGGTTTAAGATAATTAAATGATGAATATTGCTTTTCATTACTTCGCATCGATTGTAATTGAGTTGTGTTCGGATTTAATGTCATTTCTACTATTGTTGCGTTTATTGTGAAGTTGGTTGATTGGATGATACTTGTTAACAAATTGTATTTGTTAATCGTGTACCAACTAGTGGTATTGTCTTGCAGTGTTTGTCAGCATTCAATAATAGTCTTTAACCAATCAAACTTAAGTGATCGGGTGAGATAGGATAGATTATACCTAGAGTGCTGGAAAGCCATTTCATTGGTCTACCTTGCGATCCTTGCCTTGTAGGTTTAGGGGATCGTAGAGTGTGGATGAGAATTGTGTGAGTTGGTCTCGTGTCGAACCAAAACCGTAGCGGCAATGTTTTTATTATAAAGTCTTCATTAGTTTTAATTTCAAGCTTTTATTATTTGCATTTAGTTTGTTTAGTTTAATTAATCAATTTGCCAATTTCATTATCATTACTCAAATTTACACTAGGTTGCTAGTAATTGCTCCATGTGGATTCGACCCTGCTTACCACTAACTATGGTATTTAGGATTAATTTTGCGATTGTGACGACTGGCTTGACAAAATTTTGGCACCGTTGTCGGGGAGCAACGTGTTTTCTACTTTGTGTGTTTGTTTAGTCATTAGTTTTTACTATAGGTTTATCTTGTTGTTTTTGTTTGTGTTATTTTGTTTGTAGTGATTATTTGTTTGGGTAAATTGTTTTGTTTGGTTGAGTGTTTGATTTTGTGTGGTTATTAAATTTGCTTCTAGGATTTGCATTTAGTTTTTTTTTTTCTTTGAAATTGTTGTTACGGTCGCTTGTGAGCCTCTTGTGTGTTTGATTGATGAATGCAAACTAGAAGGTCTTGTAACGAAGAGTTATTACCTTTGAATCTTGAAATTGAATGCACTTCTAAGAGAAATAGAAAACAAGCACGTAGGATGGTTGACCTGGATGCACCCGCACATGTGCCCCTTAGCCAACATTTCGCACCCACCACCTACACTTCAGCTTCATGTATCTGTATCCCCAATGTCCAGACACAATACTATGAGATCAAAACTAGTGTCATCCAATTGCTACAAATTTATTGTGGGAATTTAAATGAAGAGCTATACAAACACTTAGATGATTTTTTAGAGGTTTGCTCCACAGTTAGACTTAAAAAGGTGAATGAAGACGTCGTGCACTTAATTTTATTCCTATTCTCACTTAAGGATCGAGCCAAACAGTGGCTCAATTCTTTGGCAGCAGGGTCCATTACCTCTTGGGCCCAAATGCAATAAGGATTCCTAAAAAAGTATTATCTTATTGGTAAAACCAACAGCATAAGATGAGCCATCACTAGTTTCACCCAACTAGATGGCGAGGAATTTAATGAGAGTTGGGAACGTTTGAAGGAAATGCTTAGGAAATATCCCCATCATGTAGTCCTTAGGTGGCAATTAGTTCGTAGTTTTTATGACGGATTGACCGAGAGGCATAGGAGCATGGTAGACACCTCTTGTGGAGGAACATTTATGCACAAGGACGAGAATGAGTTATGTCACTTTGAGACTTTAAGTAAAAATTTAATGCACCACATTTCTGCGTCTAGAATGCCTATCTGAGGGAAACCATCCAAAAAGGGTGGCATGTATGAGGTGTCACGGTTAGATGACATTAGTTTCAAGCTAGAGGTGTTGGCCTACCAGTTTGACAAGTTTGTATCTATATAAGGGCAGCTCACTACACAATTATCTTAGAATAGGGCGAACCAGGATGTTTTTGCCATGCATTCCACTCTTAACCATCTAATTGAGGAACCCGCCCCCGACCCTTTTGAGGAGCAAGTGCAAGCTACACAAGGCTTCCAGAGACGGAACGATCTGTACTTGAATACGTATAATCCTGGGTGGCGTAACCATCCTAATTTTTCATGGAAGCCACAACCACCTCAGAATGTCCCCAATAATATGCCATTAGGAACAATCCTTCCAATCAGCAAGACAATTATAGAGAGCAACCTTCAATCCAACCACCCATCCAACCTAGGATCCCACCTCCTGTTCAGCAGCCCACTCCAATGCCTGGTTCACTAGAATCAATGATGGCTCAAATGCACCAAACCATGCAAGAACAAAAAGCCGACATGAATGCTAGGTTCCAAGTTTAGAGTAGAATACCCAACTTCTACATTGTCATTCCCAATCCATTAGTAAGCTGGAGACCCAGATTAGTCAAATAGCCGAAGCAGTCAATATGAGGGAATAAAGCCAATTGCCTAGTCAAGGCATAAGTAACCCTAATGGTTCATCTCAGCAAAGAGGATTTTCCGAATAAGCTAAGGTTGTGATGACTCTTCGGAGCAACAGAGAGCTGATTAGGCCTGAGAAGGAAGTAAAAGTCCAGGGTAGAGAAGAGGAAAGTCTAGGTAGGGACCAAGCCAAAGAGAGTGAGAGCAAGTCACTTGTAGAGTAAAGGGTTCAAAGACCGGGTAAGGAGAAAGTTGGGAAGAATGAACAATCCCTTGCATCGTACATACCGAGAGCACCTTTTCCTCAGTGCTTAGAGCCCCTAAATGTTCCCACTACTAGGAAAAGCGTTAAGATGGATGAAATGGTTGAGTTGTTTAAGCAGGTACAAATTAACATTCCACTCTTAGATGACATTAAGCAAGTACCTGCTTATGCCAAATTCCTCAAAGACTTATGCACGTAAAAGAGGTGAATGAAATCTCACACACCCAAGACTGTACATTTATCAGAAATGTAAGTGCGGTTATCTCAAACCGCCTTCCCCCGAAGTTAAAGGATTCAGGAGCTCCTATTATTTCATGTGTGATAGGTAATATCATGATTGATAAAACACTCTTAGACTTAGGGACGAGTGTGAACTTATTACCCACTTCCGTGTATGAACAATTTAACTTAAGTGAGCTTAAGTCTACTGAAGTCATACTACAGTTAGCTGACCGATCGGTCAAAATGCCTAGGGGCCTAATTGAGGACGTGTTAGTTAAGGTTGAGGAATTATATTTTCGATGTATTTTCTTGTCTTAGACATGGAGTATACGAGCAGTGGAAGTATGTCACCAATTATTTTAGGGAGACATTTTCTAGTAATAACAAACACTTGCATTAACTGTAGATCAGGGAGATAGAAGTATCTTTTGGGAATAGGAAACTGAGACTTAATGTGTTTAATATTGGTTTAAGGCCTATGCGTGAGGAAGATAATAAGTGTATCATGGTTGATGTTATTGACAGTCTAGTGGAGGCTCACGCCCTACAGATGTTATGTGATGATGCAATTTACACTCTTATGAATCCGTTTGTTGAGGAGATATGTAGCTTGAGTGTCGTGTCTTAGATTCAGGAGGTTAGTGTGTATATGGATAGGTCACCCACTCTAGAGTGTCGACCTTAGAACATCAAGTATGAACCCTTACCACCTTTGTCTAAGACGACACAACCGAGGTCAATTGAGTCTCCACCAGCCTTAGAGTTGAAGGCCTTGCATGATACTCTCAAGTATGTTTTCCTGGGACCCAACAAAACTTTACCCGTGATCATTGCCGCCAACTTTGATAGCGAGCAAGAGAAGAGATTAGTGACAGTCTTGACAACACATAAGGAAGCAATTTGTTGGTCGGTAGTCGATTTGCGAGGGATTAGCCAGTCTTTGTGTATGCATCGTATATTTTGCAAAGAGAATGTTAAACCGGTGCATGAATCTCAAAGAAGGTTAAACGTGAACATGAAGGAGGTGGTGAAGAAAGAGGTGATCAAATGGCTTGATGCGGGTATCATCTACCCCATATTCGACAGCCAATGGGTGAGTCCGACTCATGTTGTACCTAAGAAGAGTGGTCTCACCGTTGTTGAAAATGAAAGAGGTGAGTGAATTCCTACCCGTACTCCCACAGGATGGAGAGTTTGCATTGATTATAGGAAGCTTAACCTAGCCACTAGGAATGATCATTTTTCGCTCCCATTTATTGACCAAATCCTAGAAAAACTTACAGGGCAGACTTTCTATTATTTTCTAGATGGCTATTCCATATATAACCAATTACCAGTTGCCCCCGAAGACCAGGAAAAGACCATGTTCACATGTCCTTTTGGTACGTTTTCCTTTAGTCGCATGCCCTTCATGTTATGCAATGCATCGGCAACATTTCAAAGGTACATGTTATCAATATTTTTTGACATGGTGGGTCAATTCCTTGAAGTCTTCATGGATGATTTTTTTATGTTTGGTACATCTTTCGATGATTGTCTCGAAAAGCTTGAGTTGGTGTTGAAATGATGTAAAGAGACAAATCTTGTTCTTAGTTGGGAGAAGAGCCATTTCATGGTTCAAGAGGGAATTGTCTTAGATCATGTAGTTTCCAAGAAGGGGGTAACAGTGGATAAGGCAAATGTAAAGTTCATTTCTCAACTGCCACCGCCTTCGTTGGTCAAACAAATTAGATATTTCTTAGGCCATGCATGATTATATAGGAGTTTCATCCAGAATTTTAGCAAGATCTTTAAGCCTTTGTGTGATTTGCTTGCTAAAGATGTGCCATTTGTTTTTCAT